AAGCCAGGTATCATGATCACATCAGGATCAGTTCAGCTGATCATCTTCTCATCTTCTCGTCGTAAGTAATATTAATAAGCGCTTAAAGATGAGTCAAAAACTTTTAGGTCATTCTCAGCACGAGGCCCGCGCTGCAGCGCGCTCAAAGTTCTCGGAGTTTTCATCACCCCTCTGGCGTTTGTTTGATTGGTCTCGAAAGCGATTCTGTCACAAGGATGATCGATGATCCATCTGCAGATTTAGGTAATGTGATGTTTTGGGCCCGAATTCAGCTTGCCGTTCTAGCTAAATTCCACGTTCCCTAAGACTGTTGAGATGATCAAAGTTGGGAATCATCTCAGTGCCCATGTGATGGTGTGTCAATATTTCAATCTTATGCTCCCCGCATCTCTGTCGTCTGATCATTGATATGAAATAGAAGGATCCGAGTTTCATTTGCAGAATTGTTAGTCAGCTGAGCGCTCTTCGCGGGTGGCATAACTTTGGCAACGAACATGGGGTGACTGGTGCTTGGCCACCCAATCGTATTGCCACAGTGAGCAAGTCAACGCCGGTGCGCAAGTAAAGTGGTTTTCCCTCTGGTTTTGTCATCGATTTGCCAATTTAGAAAGAACTTACTTATTATTTTTCCGGCTATTGTCATAAGTCAAGAACTTCAGACGCACCGTGGAAGCTGGTTTCTTCCAGGCTATGCCGCATCATTATTCTTGAACTTCGATGGGCCAGTCACCAGTTCTCCTATACAGGGGCTAAGCGCCAGCAACAGTATAAATGCACACTGTGCAACTCCTCTAATGTCCCATCCACAATGATGCGACTGTTTTTATACCTGCTTTAGTTCTCTCACAAGCCTTTGTGGTACTTTCTCAACAAGCTGAGGCGGCCCTCAATGCTCCTCTTACCTGTGAGGAATTAGCTAAGCAAGCGGGTAGGTGTACGACTCTGCAGTCAAATCTCATACTCAATTGATGTGTATCGTCAGGCATGCCCACTGATGGTTGGAAATCAGTTTATGGCGAGGATGGTCAACCTACCTGCCGTCGGGTAGCCGTCACAGAACTCTGCAATGGTGTTAATTATATTGATGCGGTAAGTCCGTACACATATTTCCGGAACTTATACTGAGTAGCTGAGCAGGACACCAAAGAGAAGAAATGTTGTCGAGATGTGAGTGGTCTCGTATGGATCGACAAGCCTGCACAGTTGGCCAAGGTATGCTTTCGATATGAAGTTCCGACCAACCATGCTTATTTTGGGACAGTGCTGTGCCAAGGGTCACGTATGGACGTATGATCAAGGAATCGGTTCTGGGCACGGAGGGTGCTGCCCGGTTGGGTTTCACATGAGCAATGGGATGTGCATCGCAGACGCTACTCCCCCTCCAGACTGCCCAGCTGGGACACACTTGATCGACGGCAAGTGCGTCCAAATCCCTGGTTCCTGCCCTCAGACGTGTGGCAATGGACATGGCGGTGTCGAACCCTCTTGCACGTGCACGAACTATCCAGTCTGTGGGCATGGCAAAGACCTAGGCATCAAATATGGTCATTGCTATATCCTTTCCTTTGCCGATGGCCAGCAACTCGGCATCGACCGGGACCACACCGACTACAAGAAAAACGGCTTCTTCGTCGATATCCCCTTCAAAGTCTGCAATTCGACCACTGATTGCTCACGTGGAAAGGAGGTTGAGATGGGCCAGTTCTTCTCCCTCCAAGATCAGCATGGATTGTACAGAGACACAACGTCGACGAAAGGGTGGATTAATGATGCCTCTGGTGGCGCCCATATGAAATTCACCACTGATGCCAACCACGCCGGTAAATTCAAGGGTATCCCTACTTGTGCTGGCGGTGAATGCGCTCTTCAATTGTTTGGTGGTAATGGCAATGCAGTGGCATACGCTTGCCCGATGCCCGAACCTGGACTGACATTGGTAAGTTTTACTTCCTTCAAAGGGTTTCTTTCGCTAAAGATGTTTCTTTTCGTCCATCAGTATGGCAACCCTAAAGTTGGTCAGAAAATTCGCTTCTCTGAGGTGACCTGCGACGAATATGAGGTCCCTTTGACTTCTGGCATCAACTTACAGTGAGGCTGAAAGGGAATTCGGGACGTTTTGCATGCTTCATTCTGACTTACCATGCCCCGATCTGATAACAATTTTGCCCCGATTCTCGCTATGTTTGTTGGCTGAATCGCTGTATGTACACGCAAATAGCAAAGTTTGATTGACCTTCGTGGTTTCGATCGATATGGATCTATCCTAATCTATCACTTCCTTGAGGTTAAATGTAAGCCTCTTACTACACGTGATGAGCGCCTGATGATTGGACATCGTTGAATCGCTGCAGAAAACGACACATCATGCCACAGAAAACGGCGATCTCGTAGCCGACACCTTCAAGTTGGTTTTTCTTTGCAGATAACGACCATCTGTGTGAGTCATGACGAGCATATGTTTGAGCCAGTTTTCCCTGCTCATTGACAATCATTTTTTTCTGAAAAATTTTCGGTCACCTGGTGAACGTCCTCGCCTCCGAGTCGCTGCTCGTTCGTGTCCTCACAAGGCCCTTTATGATCGAGCTGTTGACATTACGCACACCCAGTAAGCATACTATGCCATGTTCTAAGAGTGCGCAATACATACCGTGCTGCGGCAGTAGCCTGCATGACGAAGGTAATCCTACAATATCCAACCTGATTGTTTCTCTTGTATCAATTTTCTCATAGTGGAGATGATCAGTTATGTCTACTCTATATGATAATAACCAGTGATAATCAATGCAGGCGATGAAGCCTGAGGCGTAATAAACGGGGTAGGTATCATGAATCGTCGCTGAGCTCATCTTTCAGTATAGATGGATCGTCGCCGTCAAGTACCGTCGATTCGTCGTCGGTCTGGAATCTTGACTCATTATCACTCTCGCACTCGGAAACATCCTCGATAACCAGAGCTTCCTTCCTTGCAAGATCCTTGTCTGGCTGTGGACTCGCTGGGTGAGTGTCGACGAATGTTTGCAGTGATATGGGTTCATCCTCTGGATCGGGTGGTTGGAGCGTCGATCCCTCCGCTTCGTAGAAATCGGTGAGGGTAAGCGGACGCATGTTGAAGCCCTGATATTTGAAGTTGGCGAGATTCACAAAATATGCCTCGAAAATCGTACCTCTTTCTCGACCTTCGTCAGCGCTTCTTCGTCATGCTCCATGGCGCGCATACATTCCCTGACTGGGACCATCGCAGCGTTGCGGCACAATTCGCGCAAATCAGAACCAGAAAATCCCATTGTCTGAGAAGCAAGGACACGCAAGGCAAGATGGGGATCCAGTTTCGTGTCCTTGAGCATCTAATGGAGTTCAGAGTGAGCAATCTTAGCATCGGTGATATAGGCACGTACTAGAGACAAAATTTTGAATCTCTGTTCTGTATCTGGAAGAGCCACAGCGAACCGCTTCGGCATGCGCCGCAAAATTGCTGGATCAATATCACCTGGTCTGTTCGTTGCGCCTAGCACTAGTATCCTGTCAGAGCCTGATGTCAAGCCATCCCATGAACTAAGCACCCGATATCAGTCAAAGATCGAGCAGAAAAATTTATTGCTCACATCATGAATTCTGCCTTCATCATACCCATGACCTCGTGGTCATCTCCACGGCGTTCCCTCAGGAAGGAGTCGATCTCATCGACAAATATAATCGCAGGCTGGACCTTCCGCGCGAGACTGAACAGACCTGCGACTAGTTTGTTGGACTCACCGAACCACTTATTTGTGAGTGTTGATGCGGGAACATTAATGAATGTTGCGCCCGATTCCTTAGCCAGCGCACGTGCGAGCATAGTCTTCCCGCACCCCGGAGGTCCGTAGAGTAAAACACCCTTTGGGGCTCCAAGAAGGGGAGAGGCCGAGGCGAAAAGACCGGGGTGGATCAAAGGATAAATTATGGTTTCGCGGAGAGATGATACGATTAGCTCCAGACCCCCGATGTCTAAGAAATGTCGGTTGGCATTAAATTTTCATTTGCAGATGACGGGAGACTAACCCTGAAATCGAACGGTGATTTCGTCTGGGTGAACAACCTCCTTTGATATCGCTCCTGCAAGTCCCAGAGGTTAGCAGGGAGTAGTGCGTAGCCGAGGAGGTCGCGCGCACTCTCATACTCATCCAGCTTGAGGTTCTTTTGTCCGATGAGCTTCTTAATTGCCTCAGCGCTCTTTGTTGTCCGGTCGTCACTCCGCTTGAAGTACCACTACAAGAATGTTAACTATGCTTCCCGTAAATCCATGACGAAGACGTACGCGAATAGCGCAATAAACCGCTGCCTAACACGTAGACCCTCAGCTCGCGGGAGTGAAGCGGTTGATGAAAGGGATAATTACCTGCGAAGCTAGGAATAGAGCAACTGCGATCGTATCAGCAAAAGTGGCATTTGTGGACGAAAAGTAACAGTAAAACATACCATCCAGGATTATTAGGCGTCTCGTGCTTAGGGAAGATGACATCGAAAGTGAACGGAAGCCCGATTATTTATTGTGCAATCAAAAGCAGACACTTGTGGCCACAACTCGTAAGAATCGAGAAGGAGAACGTGATGACTAGCAGCAGCGTGGTCGGTAATCACAAATTGTGTTGTTTGTGTATATTTAGCAAGAGCTTTAGAATTCAATAGAGCCAAACATCATTTCAGATGCAGGAATTAATCATTATGAGCAGCATTAATGAACTTTTCCATATAACTGTCCCTACTTCATGTGACTTGCCGCTGGCGCTGGCTTACGAACTCATCTGAGAACTACTCAAATCTCGCGTTAGTTATCCATATATTGTTCGCCGAGTATGCCCTGGCAAGGCTCTTCTTCGCTTGCTTCATGTCAGCTCCAAGCTCGCATACACTGATAGGTTCACAATATATATGTTAACTGCATCATCGTCGCCCTGTAGCCAGGCTGACTGCGTAACCATCGTGGTTGGGTTTTACTTGTCACCAAAGGAAAGTAAAAAATATGCCAGGACCGTGGATTGAACACGGGACCTCCAGAAAACATCGTACTTCAGTCTGTTGCTCTCCCAGCTGAGCTACCCCGGCTATGAATTTAGTCACCCTACTCGACAACTATGTCGACATCACATCCTATCTAGGTGAATGGAATGATTTCCCTCTGGCAGGTAGTTGCTACAACTACGTGGACATCCGTTGGCGAAGCATGCTGAAGTCAGTCAAACATTCTCCGAATCAGACAGTGCCCACGACAAGCGGAAGAACGGGTCCGCTCCGGAAATATAAACATGATTCGACAAGAAAATCTCTCGTAAGTGGAAATCATGTGGTCTGAATCCGTCTGATAGCTTCTGACACCGGACAGAATTGAATCCTTCAATCCCCGTCAAGTTCCCTAGCCACGTCGGCTTTTCGGATAGATGCTGCTTGTTGAAGCTGCCTTAAATAAGTCACTGGCCTTCCCAGACTCTCTATCACACCCTCCACCATGACGACCACCCCCGCGCAATCAACTCGATGGATGAAATACTTTAGTGATATCTATGGACATGCAAAGCCACCTGTTCTGGGCTCTTTTGCAGTGAAAGAGATAGAGGACAAAGCCCGGGAGGTAATGAAAGACCATCTCCGTGAGTTCTATCATCCGCTCAAGTCGCAACTCTTGATTTGAATGATGGTGCTAGCGGCATACATGTACACATTTGGGAGTGCGGGGACGTGCTCGACAGACGCCGCAAACAGGCGCGCGTTCAACCGGTGGAAAATCGTTCCTGCAATGCTCAAGGACTGCACTAACCGAAATGTCGAGGTGAGTAGTTATGAGCGCGTGATGCTCCTGTCTAATATCTTTCTGCGTCTGTGTAGACAGCGATCTTTGGAGAGAAGTTCCACGCGCCCCTTTTCATCGCGCCCGTAGGCGTACAAGGTATCTTGCATGCAGACGGAGAACTTGCAACTGCAAGGGCTGCCGCTGCCTGCGGGATCCCTTACATCATGAGCTCGGCGTCATCCCGGTCGATTGAGGATATCGCAAAGGCAAACGGGCCAAATGGTCAGCGGTGGTATCAGCTCTACTGGTATGTTCAATCTCGTATCACCATTCCGCTTATTTAAACTCGGTTGCGAACATCTCAGGCCGCGCACGGACGAGATAACAATATCCCTTCTCAACCGTGCCAAAGCTGCAGGCTTCTCTGCGCTCGTGATCACGCTTGACACCATGCTCTTGGGTTGGCGTCCACACGACCTTGACACTGCATACATACCCTTCTTTTATGGCGTCGGCATCCAGGTTGGCTTGTCCGACCCCGTGTTCATGAAGCGCTTTGGGTACGAAGCCGTGCACGAGACCACCAAGTTCCCTTTCGAACCAGAGAAGATCAGAAACGCGGCGTTGAACGCGGGTGATGCGAATGCCCAGAAGGCAATGAAATTGGGCAAGGATTGGCTCGGAGAAACCAACTCAGGCTTTTTCAGGTCCTGGGAGGATCTACAGTTCATCAAGGATCACTGGGATGGACCTATCGTTCTGAAGGGAATCCAGCGGGCATCTGTAAGTTCATGTCGTTTAGTTCCATGATGACTTGTGACAATGCTTGCAACAGGATGCGGAGAAAGCTATTGATATGGGCATTCACGGGATCATCGTGTCAAACCACGGTGGACGGCAAATCGACGGTGCCATTGGCTCCTTGGATGCATTTGCCAAGATCATGCGCTCGCCGAAGGTCCTTGATGCGCAAGCGAAAGGCGATTTGACGGTCCTCTTCGACTCTGGTATTCGCACAGGCAGTGATGTCATCAAGGCCATGGCAATGGGTGCCCAGGGTGTCCTCAGTACGTGTCATATTTTTTCTACAGTAGAAAATTTCTAATAAAGAATTCTAGTTGCTCGTCCATACATGTACGGTCTTGCCATTGCCGGACAGGCAGGAGTCGAACAGATTTTGATGCAAACCGTGACGGATATGCATATCACGATGGGTCTCTGCGGGTACAGTGATGTTAATGACCTCATTGGGAAGCGGGACGAACTTCTCGAATCCGTAGATGATTGAACCGCAGGCTGGATTGCAAATTAACACATCAATTCATTCATTTGCCCTAGAAGGCTGTACTATGATCTATATACTCAACATGACATTTCGAAGTTCATCAAAGCAGAAATGCAGTACACTCGCCTCGAACGTTTGTCAAAACGCAAAATTACCTTTAGATGCAGTGCCTGGGAGCCTGGATTCTTATAAACAATGTTTATCTGGCGCTCGTAGTATCTCACCAATTCGGCAGTGCGCGTGGTGCAGCAATACGATGCAACATCTCCGGCCCGGATGTGATTTCCCCTTGATCAGTACTATCGGAATCAAGTAGATTGGCGCTATAGTAGAACTGATTAGCAACGGTAGGGACTTTAAGGACATGGGGTAACCCGTACGAATGAGTGGTAATAATATATCACGCTAGCTAGGTTAAGATGATGAGGGGTGGTCATGATGATGATGATGGTGATTTACTGATAAGTTTGTAGACGAATTTATGAAGGGGTACTATAATCTCATTGTACCCACCCTTTCCAAGCGGCCTCCCAACCCTCCACGAAGCGCTCTTCAGCGAATGCGCTTACAGCCCACGTACGTGCCCGCGTTCTCATCGCTTGTTCCTCCGACTTACTCATGCTCAACACCGCGTGCATGGCGTCCGCGAAGCTCTGCAGATCGCGTGCATGGAATCCCGTTGCTTCACCGTCCAGAGGTACCACAATATCATGAAGTGGACCACCGGAAGCGTGCGTCACGGGAATCACACCTGCAGCCTAGTTTCGTCAGAGGTAAGTTGCTACAGAACAAAACAAGGTGAAACAGGGAATCTGCACCATGAATTCAACGACATTTATTCCAAAATGTTCGTCTACCATTGTGCTGAGCCCGATGCTCGCCATTGCGAGCCAGCCGAGCATCTCAGGGTAGCTTGCGTTGATGATAAACTGGACGTGAGGGGTAATGTTGAGTTCCTCTGCGAGATCTCTGAGGGACTGCACGCGCCCGTGGTCGTCCGCATTACGTGCGCCACCCAGTAGGAACAGTTTCACAGAAGAGGGGCCAGAAGTATAAGCTGGGTGATCGGCCAACAGCTGCGCAAAGGCACGAAGTTGAGCAGAGTGATCTTTTTCTGGCCTTTATAAGCGACACTTGAGCTCCAGCAACGAACGAAAAGAGGAATAGAAATATACCTGAATTGTGCGATACTCAGTATAATTCTTTCCCTCTCGACCAATGGGAATTGTGCCATCTCGCGGGTATCGCATGGTGGGTAGACAATCTTGGCTTCTCGTTTCTTGCTTGTTGACACCGTGTAGAGTTCTTTTGACCTCTTGAATGTAGTCGCAAAGAGAAGAAGGGCAAAAAGGGGGTTAAGAAAGTGCATGGCGTTCATGACGGGGTCAGAGTGTGAGAGTATTGCATCGACATGATTCTTTGTCCAGCTGGAGTTGGCCATAATGAAAGAAGGGCGGGAGAGTGCCAGGGAGTAGTGATACATTAGGAAACGGTAATACCTATGAGACAAAGTGTGATAAGTGCCTAGAGTTACAAACAGAACCAGCAGGAGACAAAATTCTGAACAGAGCAAGAATACAAAAGGTGGAAGGTGGATCACTTGTACTCACCACATCTTCCCGCGGCTCAATACCAACGAGCCTGCGACATCTCCACGGTTGGTATGACCCACCTTTCTGGCCTTCACACGGGCCAGCATGTCCGTACTGATTGTTGGATAATGCACATATGCACCCATAGGTATAGAGCCCTTAGTAATCCATGCAACTACATGGAATGTGAAAGCATAACCCATGCTGTCTAGGTGGTATGAGTACCGATAGCCCTACAGCATCCAAAACAAGTACGCCTACCAATGTATAAGTCTGGGATGACTTGGGCTAAAGCTTCCCAAGCGAGGATCATGGACCCAAGGCTCTGGCCAAGAAGTGTAAAACGTGGCCAGGCGGCATCCTCCACTAGGTGTCTCTTCTGTAGGAAGACGAAATGCAGAGATTTGGGATCAAGGGAGATGTCAAAGCGTGCTTCGACTTGAGTGATTATTTGTTCTTTGGTCACGTCGACGTCTCCAGTATATACTAATGATATGCAATTAGGATGTGCGCGTTGGGTGGCTGCTACAGCAGTCCAGAGGACACGTTCACCTCCCCCACCTGCATTGCTACACAAATCTCATGAGTCAAGCATCCCAGTCCAGTGATTAACATACCAGTAGGGATGGAAGAAACCGATAAATTGAGGGTTTGATGTGGTGGGGATGCCAAGGTTCTTGATAATGGCATGGCGAGCTTGTGCTGAGCGTCTGGCAAGTTTATTTGTGTAAGCAGTAAAAATGATGATAGCAAAGAGGCCTGTTAGAAGAAGGCACAGCAGAGAAATAGCGGAAGCCATGTGCAAGCCTGCAGTATGGTCTGATACAAAAGTCAGCAAGGCTGCGGATTGTCTTGCAGCAAGAGACGTGTCCCGCACGTTAAAGGATAATTAACACAGCCACTTCACTGCCACAGACCAAACCCGTTCTGGTAGCCGCGGCACGAACCGCGGCAAGTCCTATGGATTCGCATGAGGCCTACCTTAACTCGAATCCTCTTTATTCATCACAGCCATGGCATAATAATCACCTACTGGCTCGGAAATACTCGGGTGAGCGACTTTTGCCTTCGAGGAGGCCCGGGTCTACTAGATTCCCATGAAATTAATTAATTCGAGTAAAGCGTCAGACTCTTTGATTTAAGCTATGCAACTGTAGGGCCGGTTTTGGTGGACTACTGGGCACCGGTCACTAACCAAGAAGCTTGATTCGGTGCTGGCAGATGAGCGCTTTCTATATAAACTACAACAAGTTTATAGATTTTGCCACTCTCCGTCTTCCACCTCCTGCCCCGTGCATCTAGTACACATCATCCATGGCCCCTTTCGATACCCAACCTATCAAGTCACTCCCAGCACCTACTAGGGCTGGGAATATTGTCGCCCGCAGTGATCAGCCCGGGTCCATAGATCATCATACCATCATTGATATCGCCGTCGCAA